TGTCTGCGCGTCTAAGGTTCTGTCTGCTCGTCTAAGGTTCTGTCTGCGCGTCTAAGGTTCCGTCTGCGCGTCTAAGGTTCTGTCCGCGCCTCCATGGTTCTGTCTGCTCGTCTAAGGTTCCGTCTGCTCGTCTAAGGTTCTGTCTGCGCGTCTAAGGTTCTGTCTGCTCGTCTAAGGTTCTGTCTGCGCGTCTAAGGTTCTGTCCGCGCGTCTAAGGTTCCGTCTGCGCGTCTAAGTTTCTGTCCGCGCCTCCATGGTTCTGTCTGCTCGTCTAAGGTTCCGTCTGCTCGTCTAAGGTTCTGTCTGCGCGTCTAAGGTTCTGTCTGCTCGTCTAAGGTTCTGTCTGCGCGTCTAAGGTTCTGTCCGCGCGTCTAAGGTTCTGTCCGCTCGTCTAAGGTTCTGTCCGCGCATCCATGGTACTGTCTGCTCGTCTAAGGTTCCGTCTGCGCGTCTAAGGTTCTGTCTGCTCGTCTAAGGTTCTGTCTGCTCGTCTAAGGTTCTGTCTGCGCGTCTAAGGTTCTGTCTGCTCGTCTAAGGTTCTGTCTGCGCGTCTAAGGTTCCGTCTGCGCGTCTAAGGTTCTGTCCGCGCCTCCATGGTTCTGTCTGCTCGTCTAAGGTTCCGTCTGCTCGTCTAAGGTTCTGTCTGCGCGTCTAAGGTTCTGTCCGCGCGTCTAAGGTTCCGTCTGCGCGTCTAAGTTTCTGTCCGCGCCTCCATGGTTCTGTCTGCTCGTCTAAGGTTCTGTCTGCTCGTCTAAGGTTCTGTCTGCTCGTCTAAGGTTCTGTCTGCTCGTCTAAGGTTCTGTCTGCGCGTCTAAGGTTCTGTCTGCGCGTCTAAGGTTCTGTCTGCTCGTCTAAGGTTCTGTCTGCTCGTCTAAGGTTCTGTCTGCTCGTATAAGGTTCTGTCTGCTCGTCTAAGGTTCTGTCTGCTCGTCTAAGGTTCCGTCTGCGCATCTAAGGTTCCGTCTGCTCGTCTATGGTTCCGTCTGCGCGTCTATGGTTCCGTCTGCGCATCTAAGGTTCTGTCCGCGCGTCTAAGGTTCCGTCTGCGCGTCTAGGGTTCCGTCTGCGCGTCTAAGGTTCTGTCTGCGCGTCTAAGGTTCTGTCTGCTCGTCTAAGGTTCTGTCTGCGCGTCTAAGGTTCTGTCTGCTCGTCTAAGGTTCTGTCCGCGCGTCTAAGGTTCTGTCTGCTCGTCTAAGGTTCTGTCTGCTCGTCTAAGGTTCTGTCTGCTCGTCTAAGGTTCTGTCTGCGCGTCTAAGGTTCTGTCTGCTCGTCTAAGGTTCTGTCTGCGCGTCTAAGGTTCCGTCTGCGCGTCTAAGGTTCTGTCCGCGCCTCCATGGTTCTGTCCGCTCGTCTAAGGTTCCGTCTGCTCGTCTAAGGTTCTGTCTGCGCGTCTAAGGTTCTGTCCGCGCGTCTAAGGTTCCGTCTGCTCGTCTAAGTTTCCGTCTGCGCGTCTAAGGTTCTGTCCGCTCGTCTAAGGTTCTGTCCGCGCATCCATGATACTGTCTGCTCGTCTAAGGTTCCGTCTGCGCGTCTAAGGTTCTGTCTGCGCGTCTAAGGTTCTGTCCGCTCGTCTAAGGTTCTGTCCGCGCCTCCATGGTTCTGTCCGCTCGTCTAAGGTTCCGTCTGCTCGTCTAAGGTTCTGTCTGCGCGTCTAAGGTTCTGTCCGCGCGTCTAAGGTTCCGTCTGCTCGTCTAAGTTTCCGTCTGCGCGTCTAAGGTTCTGTCCGCTCGTCTAAGGTTCTGTCCGCGCATCCATGATACTGTCTGCTCGTCTAAGGTTCCGTCTGCGCGTCTAAGGTTCTGTCTGCGCGTCTAAGGTTCTGTCCGCTCGTCTAAGGTTCTGTCCGCGCCTCCATGGTTCTGTCCGCTCGTCTAAGGTTCTGTCTGCTCGTCTAAGGTTCTGTCTGCGCGTCTAAGGTTCTGTCTGCTCGTCTAAGGTTCTGTCTGCGCGTCTAAGGTTCTGTCCGCGCCTCCATGGTTCTGTCCGCTCGTCTAAGGTTCCGTCTGCTCGTCTAAGGTTCTGTCTGCGCGTCTAAGGTTCTGTCTGCTCGTCTAAGGTTCTGTCTGCGCGTCTAAGGTTCTGTCCGCGCGTCTAAGGTTCCGTCTGCTTGTCTAAGTTTCCGTCTGCGCGTCTAAGGTTCTGTCCGCTCGTTTAAGGTTCTGTCCGCGCATCCATGGTACTGTCTGCTCGTCTAAGGTTCCGTCTGCGCGTCTAAGGTTCTGTCTGCTCGTCTAAGGTTCTGTCTGCTCGTCTAAGGTTCTGTCTGCTCGTCTAAGGTTCTGTCTGCTCGTCTAAGGTTCTGTCTGCGCGTCTAAGGTTCTGTCTGCTCGTCTAAGGTTCTGTCTGCGCGTCTAAGGTTCCGTCTGCGCGTCTAAGGTTCTGTCCGCGCCTCCATGGTTCTGTCTGCTCGTCTAAGGTTCCGTCTGCTCGTCTAAGGTTCTGTCTGCGCGTCTAAGGTTCTGTCTGCTCGTCTAAGGTTCTGTCTGCGCGTCTAAGGTTCTGTCCGCGCGTCTAAGGTTCCGTCTGCGCGTCTAAGTTTCTGTCAGCGCCTCCATGGTTCTGTCTGCTCGTCTAAGGTTCCGTCTGCTCGTCTAAGGTTCTGTCTGCGCGTCTAAGGTTCTGTCTGCTCGTCTAAGGTTCTGTCTGCGCGTCTAAGGTTCTGTCCGCGCGTCTAAGGTTCCGTCTGCGCGTCTAAGTTTCCGTCTGCGCGTCTAAGGTTCTGTCCGCTCGTCTAAGGTTCTGTCCGCGCATCCATGGTACTGTCTGCTCGTCTAAGGTTCCGTCTGCGCGTCTAAGGTTCTGTCTGCGCGTCTAAGGTTCTGTCTGCGCGTCTAAGGTTCTGTCTGCGCGTCTAAGGTTCTGTCCGCTCGTCTAAGGTTCTGTCCGCGCCTCCATGGTTCTGTCCGCTCGTCTAAGGTTCCGTCTGCGCGTCTACGGTTCCGTCTGCGCGTCTAAGGTTCCGTCTGCGCGTCTAAGGTTCCGTCTGCGCGTCTAAGGTTCCGTCTGCTTGTCTAAGGTTCTGTCTGCGCGTCTAAGGTTCTGTCTGCTCGTCTAAGGTTCTGTCTGCGCATCTAAGGTTCTGTCTGCGCGTCTAAGGTTCTGTCTGCGCGTCTAAGGTTCCGTCTGCGCGTCTAAGGTTCCGTCTGCGCGTCTAAGGTTCCGTCTGCGCGCCTAAGGTTCCGTCTGCGCGTCTAAGGTTCCGTCCGCTTGTCTAAGGTTCCGTCCGCGCGTCTAAGGTTCCGTCCGCGCGTCTAAGGTTCCGTCTGCGCGTCTAAGGTTCCGTCTGCTCGTCTAAGGTTCTGTCCGCTTGTCTAAGGTTCTGTCTGCTCGTCTAAGGTTCTGTCTGCTCGTCTAAGGTTCTGTCTGCTCGTCTAAGGTTCTGTCTGCTCGTCTAAGGTTCTGTCTGCTCGTCTAAGGTTCTGTCTGCTCGTCTAAGGTTCTGTCCGCACGACTATGGTCCGCGCTCGCTTCTACGTTATAGATGTGTGTTCGCTGAGCTGTTGCCAAAGCGGCTGTCAGTAAAACACGGCCACAGCTGCCCCGGGTCAGAGCAGAGGATGTGAATCCTGTTCAGAAATGGCATCATTTCTTTTCAAAAACGTCTCAATCACTTTCACTTCTTTCTCACCAAACACTCCCCGCTCCCTGTTACATTTGTTGGTCGCATCGATTCATACATTTCTCGCCACAATGCTCCCTCTACTTGTTTCATTTTGTGGTTGTGTCCAATTCTTAAATTTCAAAGTACGTAGCTATCTGCTTCCACCTACTGATATGAAAAAGTATTACATGGAATTTCTCACTACACACCAGACAATGTTGAAAAACACTGCATTACAAAATGAGTGCAGATAAAATTGCACTTGATGTGTTGAATTCTGAATCTAATGATACAGTAGATGAGCTCTTAACATATTTATGACATATTTTTAAGTGTCATCATGTCATGTCATTGTTTTCCCCTTTATTAGTCCAATTCTTCTGTGTCGGGGTGATGGCAATCAGATATCCACCCAAGTCTCATAGCACCACTCCCTCTGATCCTCTTGCAGGTGGGTCTGTCATCGACGAGATGGCCTTGGTCTTTCAGCGGGGGCTTCAGGCAACGTGGGGTTAAGTGTCCTGCCAGTGGACACAACTACAGCAGACTTCAGTGGGAGGAGGTGGCATGGGTCATGGTGGGATCAAACCCATGACCATTAGGTCCAAAGACCAGTGCTCTACCAACTGAGCTACTGTCGCCCCATGATATCAGATGATATTTTACTTTCAAGGACCCCACTTTGCCTTCCTCCTGTGGACTGATGCACCTGCAGGAGGATCAGAGAGGGGCTGGTGCTATGTACTGTATACTGGGTGGCATCTCTGGCCACCCCCGACCCAGAAATGGATTCAGGAGTATAAAATGGATGGATCGATATTGGAAATTATTGAACATCGGCACTTTCTAGTTTTTGCAATTGTTGTAAGTTATTTTTTTATTTTCTTTAATATAATCTCTTTATTATAAAGATATTATGTGGCAGTCTAAGGCACTGTTCCTCAGGGGACAATAACATTTTTTATTCTATCCAAGCAACATTTGTATTTTCAACCACAGACACAAACTTACTGCCAGATGCCAGATGGAATAAACATGTTCCACTAAAAATAGCAAAGAATGTTGTTTCTATTCCTAATTGTGTGGGAGAAAAGAAGGAAGAGCAATGACCACTGTGACAGTGGCAGTTGAAGCTTGTGGCAAACATTTAAACAGTGATTAATCATCCACTATACACTGCAGCAGCATGATTTTGCAAATAAGTTGGAAAACTGTCAAAGTAACCATTAAAATAATTTTAGAAAACGCTGTAAATTATAGATACAATTTTTATCTAATCTTTGAGAAAAAAAAATACAACTTTTTTTTTGAGATTTTGTTGTTGGATATGTGCAATTCGTCAAATTAGGATTTACCGCTGCCTCTGCGACCAATATTAATAAATTCAGTTTGTTCATACCTGAAAAAACTGATATGCCATGACTGTCTCATCCATGACTGGGCTCTCAGACCCTTTCCAGACCCCAAAGCGATGTGCATAAGAGAGTTTCCCTGAGTTGAACCACCCTGGGAAATAATACCTATGAAAGAAAGATACAATACATGAGTAAATCAAAACACATGAAATTAAGGATAGGCCATTTGAAAAGAACAAACCTTAATCTGAAATGCAAGTTTTCTACAGCCAGATGCTGTACTTTAAAGACATGATTTGGAGGAAACCAAATGCTGTCACTCTCTCTCATCAGGCTGAACAGGCTGCAGTATACAGGGGCAATGCCTACACAGAGACAAGTATAGGAGGTTTAGCAATAAATGTGCATTCTGGCTAAAAATAAGAATATTCTGGACAACATGTTGAACTGAGAGCAGAGACACTTTTTATTTAACTTAATTTGCTGTAATTGCAGAAACTCATAGACATAACCATTTTCAGTGGCCCTTGAGATTATTTTCAATTATTATCATTAACTTGCGGGCGACAGTAGCTCAGTTGGTAGAGCATTGGCCTTCAGGCCTGAAGGTCGGGAGTTCAATTCCCACCTCTACACCTTCTCCACCGACTCCCACTGATGACTGCTGTCGTTGTGTCCTTGGGCAAGACACTTAACCCCACTTTGCCCAAAGCCCCCACTGAAAGATACATGTGTCTCTGTCCCAGAGACTGATGCTGCTAACATGCTAAGATGCTACCAAGCTAAGATGCTACTAAGCTAAGATGCTACCAAGCTAAGATGCTACCAAGCTAAGATGCTACCAAGCTAAGATGCTACCAAGCTAAGATGCTACCAAGCTAAGATGCTACCAAGCTACTATGCTACCAAGCTACAATGCTACCAAGCTAAGATGCTACCAAGCTAAGATGCTACCAAGCTACGATGCTACCAAGCTAAGATACTACCAAGCTAAGATGCTACCAAGCTAAGATGCTACCAAGCTAAGATGCTACCAAGCTCAGATGCTACCAAGCTAAGATGCTACCAAGCTACGATGCTACCAAGCTAAGATGCTACCAAGCTACGATGCTACCAAGCTAAGATACTTAATTCTTCCTAAAGCGAGAGATGTTAAACTAACCCTATTTGGAGCAAACCCCGAACAATAAACTGCGTCAGTGAAATATTGTGATAAACTAAATATTAAAAGTAATACTGCAATTCCTCCACATACAGAGGATAATTATGACACCAACACGTATTGTTCCATTGATTATAGAAAGATAATGGATAAAGTGAAGTTCCGAGCCCCGGGTTCTGGGTCTTCATGGATCCACTGCTGTCGTTTCTCTGAAGGAAACATGAGGCTCATAATGAACCAGTCGTTTCCAGACACTTTTCCCTTTCATGGTTTCCTCAAACATTGGGTGAGTCACTTCATGAGTCTTGGAACTGAAGTCTCTCTCTTGGGGTTTTATCTACAACAACCCAATACTTTTTAGATTCAGTCTCTGCCAAGTTAGTTCTGTTTTGTGAGATTTCCGTCCTGTGAATGTTGTAGATGATACTCTATACGACCTAAACTATAGTCTGACATCTGAGACCATGTGAGAGACCATGTGAGGGGTCTGTCGGGTTAAGACCATCAGCAAACCCTTCCACATTGTACTGCGCAGAAGAGAAGCGTGTGCAGTCAACTCAAATCATGATACAATAACGTCAGCTTTTAAAAAACAAACAAAAGTGAAGAGTCTGAAGCAGCAGCTGTTGAACCTGAGTCTGAAACACGATCAACAAATAACAGATTAACGGAGCTCACAAATGGTGTAATGGAGAGGACAGGCGGATGGTTCAGCGCCCGGGGCTCACAGCAGCTGTTGCATCCGCCACATCTGTCTCCATGACAACAGGCTGGAGCAAGGGGAGGGGCCCAGAGGCAGAACTTAGGGCTTTCTGGTTTAAGTAATGTTTATGCAAAATCATGAATGGCTGAGCTAATGATATCATCCATTTTCTAACCATTAAAGATGCAGTCAGTGATTTTTTCCAGACGCATAAAAAAAAAAAAAAAGTAATGTTAACTCATTGACTGCTAGCCATTTTTGAAGATTTTACTGATTTTCAAGAAAATATTGTATGCTATGTCTATGTGAAATACAAAACCAGATTCTGAAAGACTGGATTGTCTACTTTCATCAGCAAAAAATAAGTGTGTTTCTCGCTAGTTTTGTTCTTCTGTAATCCCCGGTCGAATAGAGGGAAGTTTGACAGAAATCACCAGTCTCAGACAAACACGTCAATGGCAGTCAATAAGTTAATGACTCATTCTAGTCTTGGCTCATTCTAGTCTTGGCTCATTCAAGTCTAGGCTCATTCAAGTCTAGGCTCATTCTAGTCTAGGCTCATTCTAGTCTAGGCTAATTCAAGTCTAGGCTCATTCTAGTCTAGGCTCATTCAAGTCTTGGCTCATTCAAGTCTAGGCTCATTCAAGTCTTGGCTCATTCAAGTCTAGGCTCATTCTAGTCTAGGCTCATTCTAGTCTTGGCTCATTCAAGTCTTGGCTCATTCTAGTCTTGGCTCATTCAAGTCTAGGCTCATTCAAGTCTAGGCTCATTCAAGTCTAGGCTCATTCTAGTCTAGGCTCATTCTAGTCTTGGCTCACTCTAGTCTTGGCTCATTCAAGTCTAGGCTCATTCAAGTCTTGGCTCATTCAAGTCTAGGCTCATTCTAGTCTAGGCTCATTCTAGTCTAGGCTCATTCTAGTCTTGGCTCATTCTAGTCTAGGCTCATTCAAGTCTAGGCTCATTCTAGTCTAGGCTCATTCTAGTCTAGGCTCATTCAAGTCTAGGCTCATTCAAGTCTAGGCTCATTCAAGTCTTGGCTCATTCAAGTCTAGGCTCATTCTAGTCTAGGCTCATTCAAGTCTAGGCTCATTCTAGTCTTGGCTCATTCAAGTCTAGGCTCATTCAAGTCTTGGCTCATTCTAGTCTTGGCTCATTCTAGTCTTGGCTCATTCAAGTCTAGGCTCATTCTAGTCTAGGCTCATTCTAATCTTGGCTCATTCTAGTCTTGGCTCATTCTAGTCTTGGCTCATTCAAGTCTTGGCTCATTCAAGTCTAGGCTCATTCTAGTCTAGGCTCATTCAAGTCTTGGCTCATTCTAGTCTTGGCTCACTCTAGTCTTGGCTCATTCAAGTCTAGGCTCATTCAAGTCTTGGCTCATTCAAGTCTAGGCTCATTCTAGTCTAGGCTCATTCTAGTCTAGGCTCATTCAAGTCTAGGCTCATTCTAGTCTTGGCTCATTCAAGTCTAGGCTCATTCAAGTCTAGGCTCATTCAAGTCTAGGCTCATTCTAGTCTTGGCTCATTCTAGTCTTGGCTCATTCTAGTCTAGGCTCATTCTAGTCTTGGCTCATTCAAGTCTTGGCTCATTCAAGTCTAGGCTCATTCAAGTCTAGGCTCATTCTAGTCTAGGCTCATTCTAGTCTTGGCTCACTCTAGTCTTGGCTCATTCAAGTCTTGGCTCATTCAAGTCTAGGCTCATTCTAGTCTAGGCTCATTCAAGTCTAGGCTCATTCTAGTCTTGGCTCATTCAAGTCTAGGCTCATTCTAGTCTAGGCTCATTCAAGTCTTGGCTCATTCTTTAAAGCCTCCTGACCCATGACCTCCTGACACATGACCTGGCTCACATGGTCAGGGTCACATGGTCAAGGTCACATGGTCAGGGTCACATGGTCAGGGTCACATGGTCAAGGTCACATGGTCAGGGTCACATGGTCAGGGTCACATGGTCAGGTACAGGCCACAGTCCATCCCGTTATTGCAAATATGAAATTATTGCACACAGCTAATGGCCACATCCAATTATTGCACAGTTCTTTGCATTACAGTCAACCATATTACACATGACCATTTACACACAAACCCTTCTGCACACATGGTTCACAACATTATCAATGGTTCTCACATGTTTAAGACGACCTCAGCCACTCTTTTATAGACCTTTAAATGAAGAAAAACTGGAGGTCACACGGCACCTCATCTGTCAGTGCTCTGCCTCTGCCTCTGCCTCTGCCTCTGTCTCTGCCTCTGCCTCTGCCTCTGCCTCTGTCTCTGCCTCTGCCTCTGCCTCTGCCTCTGCCTCTGCCTCTGCCTCTGCCTCTCTCTCAGCCTCCGCCTCCGCCTCCGCCTCCGCCTCAGCCTCAGCCTCTGCCTCTGCCTCTGCCTCTGCCTCTGCCTCTGCCTCTGCCTCTGCCTCTGCCTCTGCCTCTGCCTCTGCCTCTGCCTCTGCCTCAGCCTCAGCCTCAGCCTCTGCCTCAGCCTCAGCCTCTGCCTCTGCCTCTGCCTCTGCCTCTGCCTCTGCCTCAGCCTCAGCCTCAGCCTCAGCCTCTGCCTCTGCCCTGGGACGACCATCTCCTTATATAACACACATCACATGCAGCTCTCTGATGGATCCAGGCCTATTATAAACACTGCACTGGCCTGGATCCAACCTCAGATCAAAACAAAGATGAATGTCAGAGAAGTGACTGTTGTTGGCAAGAAAATGCAGTGCCTGATACAGTGCCTGATGCAGTACCTGATGCAGTACCTGATGCAGTACCTGATGCAGTGCCTGATGCAGTGCCTGATGCAGTACCTGATGCAGTACCTGATGCAGTGCCTGATGCAGTACCTGATACAGTGCCTGATGCAGTGCCTGATGCAGTACCTGATGCAGTGCCTGATGCAGTGCCTGATGCAGTACCTGATGCAGTACCTGATGCAGTGCCTGATGCAGTGCCTGATGCAGTACCTGATGCAGTACCTGATGCAGTGCCTGATGCAGTACCTGATGCAGTGCCTGATGCAGTGCCTGATGCAGTGCCTGATGCAGTGCCTGATGCAGTACCTGATGCAGTACCTGATGCAGTGCCTGATGCAGTGCCTGATGCAGTACCTGATGCAGTGCCTGATGCAGTACCTGATGCAGTGCCTGATGCAGTGCCTGATGCAGTGCCTGATGCAGTACCTGATGCAGTACCTGATGCAGTGCCTGATGCAGTGCCTGATGCAGTACCTGATGCAGTACCTGATGCAGTGCCTGATGCAGTGCCTGATGCAGTACCTGATGCAGTACCTGATGCAGTGCCTGATGCAGTGCCTGATGCAGTGCCTGATGCAGTACCAGATGCAGTACCTGATGCAGTGCCTGATGCAGTACCTGATGCAGTGCCTGATGCAGTGCCTGATGCATTGCCTGATGCAGTGCCTGATGCAGTACCTGATGCAGTACCTGATGCAGTGCCTGATGCAGTGCCTGATGCAGTACCTGATGCAGTACCTGATGCAGTGCCTGATGCAGTACCTGATGCAGTGCCTGATGCAGTGCCTGATGCAGTGCCTGATGCAGTACCTGATGCAGTACCTGATGCAGTACCTGATGCAGTACCTGATGCAGTGCCTGATGCAGTGCCTGATGCAGTACCTGATGCAGTGCCTGATGCAGTACCTGATGCAGTGCCTGATGCAGTACCTGATGCAGTGCCTGATGCAGTGCCTGATGCAGTACCTGATGCAGTGCCTGATGCAGTGCCTGATGCAGTGCCTGATGCAGTACCTGATGCAGTACCTGATGCAGTGCCTGATGCAGTGCCTGATGCAGTACCTGATGCAGTACCTGATGCAGTGCCTGATGCAGTACCTGATGCAGTACCTGATGCAGTGCCTGATGCAGTGCCTGATGCAGTGCCTGATGCAGTACCTGATGCAGTGCCTGATGCAGTGCCTGATGCAGTACCTGATGCAGTACCTGATGCAGTGCCTGATGCAGTGCCTGATGCAGTGCCTGATGCAGTGCCTGATGCAGTACCTGATGCAGTGCCTGATGCAGTACCTGATGCAGTGCCTGATGCAGTGCCTGATGCAGTACCTGATGCAGTGCCTGATGCAGTGCCTGATGCAGTACCTGATGCAGTACCTGATGCAGTACCTGATGCAGTACCTGATTCAGTGCCTGATGCAGTGCCTGATTCAGTGCCTGATGCAGTGCCTGATGCAGTGCCTGATGCAGTACCTGATGCAGTACCTGATGCAGTACCTGATTCAGTGCCTGATGCAGTGCCTGATTCAGTGCCTGATGCAGTGCCTGATGCAGTGCCTGATGCAGTGCCTGATGCAGTGCCTGATGCAGTACCTGATGCAGTGCCTGATGCAGTACCTGATGCAGTACCTGATGCAGTGCCTGATGCAGTACCTGATGCAGTACCTGATGCAGTGCCTGATGCAGTACCTGATGCAGTGCCTGATTCAGTGCCTGATGCAGTACCTGATGCAGTACCTGATGCAGTGCCTGATGCAGTGCCTGATGCAGTGCCTGATGCAGTACCTGATGCAGTGCCTGATTCAGTGCCTGATGCAGTGCCTGATGCAGTGCCTGATGCAGTGCCAATCCAATCCACTTTATTTATATAGCACATTTTATAAAACAAGTTTCCAAAGTGCTGCACAGAGATAACATCAAAAAATTAAAATATGCGCAAAGTAAAAACAATACAAATGTAATAAAAACAATAAAATACCAGTAAACTATAAACATGTGATAAAAACAATAAAATACTAGTTATCTGATTTAAAAAGAATAAATAAATAAATAAAAAGAATAAAACAAATAAAACAAAATGAAAATAGGACCACACAACTCACGCGGTGTTAAAGGCCAGAGTAAAAATGCGTCTTAAGACGAGACTTAAAACATTCCAACGAGGTCAATAGTTAAAGATGCAGTGAAGGATTTTCTGGAAACGTCCTGAAACAAAAGTCTCGTGTGTTTTCAAACAGGAGTGGACCGGACGCTGCAGCCTCACAACATTCATCACATGTTTTGGAGCAGATGGAAATGAACCAATGGGAAGTGTTCTCCTGCTTTTCATCAGTGACAGAGTGTGGGAGCACTGTGCTCGACACGGGTCCAAACAACAGCCAACCTTTCCCACTGTTGCTCCTCCCTCCTCCATCTGCTGCCGTTCACACCAGTGATGTCACATGTAAACAGTCCCATGGTGATGTCACATGTAAACAGTCACATGGTGATGTCACATGTAAACAGTCACATGGTGATGTCACATGTAAACAGTCACATGGTGATGTCACATGTAAACAGTCCCATAGTGATGTCACATGTAAACAGTCACATGGTGATGTCACATGTAAACAGTCCCATGGTGATGTCACATGTAAACAGTCACATGGTGATGTCACATGTAAACAGTCACATGGTGATGTCACATGTAAACAGTCACATGGTGATGTCACATGTAAACAGTTCCATGGTGATGTCACATGTAAACAGTCACATGGTGATGTCACATGTAAACAGTTCCATGGTGATGTCACATGTAAACAGTCACATGGTGATGTCACATGTAAACAGTTCCATGGTGATGTCACATGTAAACAGTCCCATGGTGATGTCACATGTAAACAGTCACATGGTGATGTCACATGTAAACAGTCACATGGTGATGTCACATGTAAACAGTTCCATGGTGATGTCACATGTAAACAGTCACATGGTGATGTCACATGTAAACAGTCCCATGGTGATGTCACATGTAAACAGTTCCATGGTGATGTCACATGTAAACAGTCACATGGTGATGTCACATGTAAACAGTCACATGGTGATGTCACATGTAAACAGTCACATGGTGATGTCACATGTAAACAGTTCCATGGTGATGTCACATGTAAACAGTCACATGGTGATGTCACATGTAAACAGTCCCATGGTGATGTCACATGTAAACAGTCACATGGTGATGTCACATGTAAACAGTCCCATGGTGATGTCACATGTAAACAGTCACATGGTGATGTCACATGTAAACAGTCACATGGTGATGTCACATGTAAACAGTCACATGGTGATGTCACATGTAAACAGTTCCATGGTGATGTCACATGTAAACAGTCACATGGTGATGTCACATGTAAACAGTCACATGGTGATGTCACATGTAAACAGTCACATGGTGATGTCACATGTAAACAGTTCCATGGTGATGTCACATGTAAACAGTCCCATGGTGATGTCACATGTAAACAGTCCCATGGTGATGTCACATGTAAACAGTCACATGGTGATGTCACATGTAAACAGTTCCATGGTGATGTCACATGTAAACAGTCCCATGGTGATGTCACATGTAAACAGTCACATGGTGATGTCACATGTAAACAGTTCCATGGTGATGTCA